AGGCTGGTGTGCAGTGGCATGAACACTGCTCACTGCAGCCTCAAACTCCTGGGTTCAAGCAGACCTCCTGCTTCAGCCTCCCAAGTAGCTGGGACCACAGGCGCACACTGTCACACTCAGCTAATTTTTTTTTCTTTTTTTGTAGACAGGATCTTGCCATATTGTCCAGGCTAGGCTCAAACTCCTGGGCTCAAGTGATCCTCCTGCCTCCCCTTCCCAAAGTGTTGGGATTACAGGCATGAGTCACTGCTCCTGGTCAGAGTTTATATTATTTATGTGATGGCAGATAATTTGATGAGTATAATGTCTAACCCAATGCCTTAAGCACAATAATGTTTAGTAAATATATCTTGATTTCAATTGGCAGAAACATGACTAAAATTCAGTCTCCTCTCTTATAGCTAGATGTTCTGATAAGCCTTGTTTCATAAAATGGTTAGAGCATGGCTAGGCGTGGTGGTTCACGCCTGTAATCCCAGAACTTTGGGAGGCTGAAATTGGCAGATCACAAGGTCAAGAGATTGAGACTATCCTGGCCAACATGGTGAAACCCCGACTCTACTAAAAATACAAAAAATTAGCCAGGTGTGGTGGCCTGCACCTGTAATCCCAGCTACTCGGGAGGCTGAGGCAAGAGAATTGCTTGAACCCGGGAGGCGGAGGTTGCGGTGAGCCAAGATCTCACTATTGCACTCCAGCCTGGGCGACAGAGCAAGACTCCACCTCAAAAAAAAATTTTTAGAGCATAAAATATTACAAACTAAAAATATTTGTCTTTAAAAATCATTTTAGGGCCGGGCGCCGTGGCTCACGCCTGTAATCCTAGCACTTTAGGAGGCCGAGGTGGGTGGATCACGAGGTCAAGAGATCGAGACCATCCTGGTCAACATGGTGAAATCCCGTCTCTACTAAAAATACAAAAAATCAGCTGGGCATGGTGGCGCAAGCCTGTAATCCCAGCTACTCAGGAGGCTGAGGCAGGAGAATTGCCTGAACCCAGGAGGCGGAGGTTGTGGTGAGCCGAGATCGCGCCATTGCATTCCAGCCTGGGCAACAAGAGCGAAACTCTGTCTCAAAAAAAAATAAATAAATAAAAATAAAAAATAAAATAAAAATCATTTTAACAGTAATCTAAAGGAAAATCTTTTCTTCTAAGGACTTCCTCGTTCTGCCCATCTTCCTAACAAGGCTATGGCTGATAACAGCAGTGATGAGTATGAAGAGGAAAATAACAAGGTACAGTCAAACTCACAGGTTCTTGTAGAATTTCTGCTTTGGGTTTTTAGTAGTTAGAGATGACACCAGTTCAACAGTAAACATTTGTTGAACACTCACCTCCAGTGGTTAGGGACCTTTGAGCTTATGGAGGAAAATCAGTTGCAAAGAGCCTTGAGATTTTGACTTTTCTTCAGGAATAAAGCCTACTGTTACAGCTGACTTTGGTGAGGAATTTCATAAAATGTAACCCAGCGTTTCACAAACTTTCCTGATCATAAGAGTCAACTGGGGTACTTATTTTTAAATATACAGATTCCCAGGCCCCACCCAGAATCTTAAGAGTAAAAGCCTGGGAATTTATATTTTTAGGAAGTAGTCCAGGTAATTCTTGTGCTAAAGCAAGTTTGAAATTGTCAGTCTGGGCATTTTTTCATTGTCAATACTTGTGATACTGTCAATATTTTGTGAAAGAGATTTTAATTTTGAGGTCTTAAGACCCAAATATTTACTGCTGTTATTCTGTGAACCTAGAGAATCACCCTGCTTCTGAAAGAAAGATGGCAAGATACCCACCTCTCTAGACACATATAGGACCTTAGAGTTGCACATGTGCCTTCTTAAAACCATTTGTGTTTAGTCATAGCACATTATCCAATGTTTTTTTTTTTTTTTTTTTTTTGAGACAGAGTTTCACTCTTGTTGTCCAGGCTGGAGTGCAATGGCATGATTTCAGCTCACTGCAACATCTACCTCCCAGGTTCAAGCGATTCTCCTGCTTCAGCCTCCCAAGTAGCTGGGGACAGGCACCCGCCACCACGCCTGGCTAATTTTTGTATTTTTAGTAGAGATGGGGTTTTACCATGTTGGTCAGGCTATTCTTGAACTCCTGACCTCAGGTGATCCACCTGCCTCAGCCTCCCAAAGTGCCGGGTTACAGGTGTGAGCCACTGTGCCCAGCCTGTTTGCTTTCATTTTTGAGATGGTGTCTCACTCTTTCGCCCAGGCTGGAGTGCAGTGGTATGATCTTGGTTCATTGGAACCTCCACCTTTTCAGTTCAAGCAATTCTCATGCCTTAGCTTGCAGAGTAGCCGGGACCACAGGCCAGCACCAACTTGCCTGGCTAATTTTTGTGTTTTTAGTAGAGATGGGGTTTTGCCATATTGGCTACAGTGGTCTCTTAACTCCTGACCTCAGGTGATCTGCCTGCCTCTGCCTCCCAAAGTACTGGTATTACAGGTGTGAGCTACCGCACCCAGCCTGATGGCTACATTTTAATGGTTTTTTTTTTTTTAATTGAGATGGGGTTTCACCATGTTGGCCAGGGTGGTCCCAAACTCCTGACCTCAGATAGGTGATCTGCCTGCCTCGGCCTCCCAAAGTGCTGGGATTACAGGTGTGAGCCACCACGCCGAGCCAGTCATTTTAATGGTCTTTTAAGAACTGGAACTTTGGAAACACAGGTGAAAAATATTTGAAGTAATACAGAAAGCGGTAGTGATGTGGACTGATTTAATAAAAAGCCTAAAAGGTAACATTTTCAGGTGGTCCCACTCTGTGACCAGTGTCCTGTTTTAATGTCTTATATACAAGGTCATTTCTTAGGCATTTGTCTGTAGTATATGAAGCCTTCTGCTTTTATATCAGATTTTTTGCAAAGTACAACTTTAAAGAGGAAGAGGAAAAGTAACTATTTTCCTATCCAATTTACCTCCAAATTTTGTATATCACCCTAAATTCTTCTAGTCTTCATTCTGTGCTCAGTATTTACGGTTCATCTTTCTAATTTGGTATGCACCCAGAAGCAACAGAAAGGATCTACTTTTGAATAACCTTTAAAATTGATGGGCCAGGCGTGGTGATTCACACCTGTAATCCCAGCATTTTGAGAGACTGAGGCGGGCAGATCATCTGAGGTCGGGAGTTGGAGACCAGCCTGAACAACATGGAGAAACACCATCTCTACTAAAAATACAAAAAATTAGCCGGGCATGGTGGCACAGGCCTGTAATCCCAGCTACTCGGGAGGCTGAGGCAGGAGAATCCCTTGAACCTGGGAGGCAGATGTTGCGGTGAGCCGAGATTGTGCCATTGCACTCCAGCCTGAGCAACAGAAGCGAAATTGTCTCAAAAAAAAATTGACAAAATTATTATTATTTTTTTCCTAGATGAAGTCACTCTGGTGCCCAGGCTGGAGTACAGTGGTGTGATCTCAGCTCACTGCAGCCTGCCTCCTGGGTTCAAGTGATTGTCCTGCCTCAGCCTCCCAAGTAGCTGGGATCACAGGCACTCACCACCATGCCTGGCTAATTTTTATATTTTTAGTAGAGACAGTTTTTCACCATGTTGACCATGCTGGTCTCGAACTCCTGGCCTCATGTGATCCGCCCACCTTGGCCTTCCAAAATGCTGGCATTACAGGCATGAGACACTACCCTGTGCTGACAATATTCTTACAAGTTCCCTTTGCCAAAACTGCTTCCTATGTGACTAAAGATAATTTTGGCAAATCTTGAATTAAGAAAGAATGCTCTAGAAAGTTCCTATCAATCATATACTAATAAGGTATAGTCACTGAATAAAGTCTTCAACTGTTTCATTATCTGCTATGCATATTATAGCTTAGAATATACTTTTATCTATACTTTTATCTATGTCTAATAAATTTGTTATTCTTAGAGCAAAAGGTGACCAAAAGCAGTTTTTGGTGTCTTGTGACACGTCACAGTTGTGTGTGCCAATAGCTGCTTTACCATAAAAAAAATTAATTTTAAACAACTGGAATCAAACGTGTTAACCTCCATTTAAGCCATATGGCATACAGAAACCAAGCTTTGAAAACCTGCTTTTTTTTTTTTTTTTT